AGCTTTTATTCAATTAATTTACTGTATTATTGTATTAAAATATTTAAATAATGCACTAGGAAAATTTTCTTTTTAAGATATTAGGGTTAACATGTTATAGTAGTTTTACTCAATGTAAAAGATTAAATTTTTGCTGGGTGAACGATAATTTAATTATACAATTTAATATGTATGAATGTCTTTAGTATTATGTACTTGGAGTGATTGGTTTAAGTTATACTAAGATAGCCTTATTTCTGAGGTATCGAAATTGTGTAATAATAATATTTAATATGAAAACACAGTTTTTAAATGTATTTAAGTAATTAATATGTTCAACCATAACATTATTTGAAATATTTAGCATGTTTTTTTTAAATAGTAGATGGGTACTTAACAAAAATTTTTTTATATTATTTTAACTAAAGTTAATCTGGTTTAAATTAATATATTAACATCTAAAATTTAATATTCAAAATCCTAAATTATTTTACACAATGCTACAATATGTTTAATAATCAAACATGTATGATAATATGTGTCTTGAAATCATGTACATCTTATACACAATACGATTATGTACACGTTCTGAAAATATAGTCATCGAATTGTTTATGCCTTTGTCATAGGTATCTTCAACAATATTATAATATATCATAAATTTAATGTAATAATAATAATAATTAAAACAATAGTACCTCCATGATAGTATAAACATCAAAACAAATATTGATAAAATATATTCTAGCGTGGTATCTATAGTAATTTTTATAAAATAAAAATATTTAATCTATATTCAAAATTAATTAATTCATGTTATAATATAAATTATTAATAATTAATATATCGAGGTAAAAGGTAAAAAAAAATTTTCAGATGATAGTTGAACGAAAGTGGGCTCATTATTCACATGAATAAGACTCATGAAATAAAATTACGAGGTAAACTGCGTATAATATGGTCGGTTGTAATTTCTTTGGAGAAAACTATGAAATATCACTATACACACGTAACCATACTTGTTAAAGAATGCTTATGATGCACGGTGGCACGGTTCGTAGAGGTTAAGCACTTAAATGAATATAATTGATTTAATATTTCATCACACTATGTTTATTGGCATTATAAAATTGAATAATAAATAAATAATAATTATTCCGAAAACGCTACAGCGTTGAGCTGTGTTACCACAGCACTGCTAATTGAATAGATACCAAAATTATTCAGTATTAGATACTTATTTCTTGTACACTTTTATACGATTAAAATATATTTTGTATGTCCTTTTATAAACACGTAAACATAAAAATATTTCCATACGTGTACTCGCTCAAGTGCGATGGAATTTCGGATCCTGTGTCTTGCAACTCCTCCACTCTCCAGGTAACACAAATATAAACTATAGGCATGTTGTATGTGTATATAACCGATACTACATTTGCTATAAAATAATTGTTACAGTACAATAATTATTAAAAATATAATGTATTGTTCTACTTGATAAAATAAAAATATATTGAAAAGTGATAATTATACAGTGCCTCGCTATATTAGATTTAAATAAACGTAAAATAAATATAAAATTTATGTAGCCATAATATTATACTAAAATTTTTCTTTGCATAATAATATACTATTATTATTATTAATATAATTTAATAACGCCGCGTGCACGTTATTGCATTGTAAAATAATAATAATAAAACATAGATAAGTGACGATAGTACACTCCCCGAGCACACCAGCACCCGCGACTTTATCTGCTCTTATAATATCGCGAGCCATATTATCGTTTATCACAATGTAAACACGGATTAATTGCATCAGATATTATTATAATAACACACGCGAGCCGTGTATATAGTGGATAATGGAACGAGTTCGGGTGGAGTCGCGCTCGGATTTCGTATTTACGATCGTTTTATTATTATTAGTATTTTATTATTATTATTATTTTCTCAGTATATTATATTATGCACAAAAAAAAAAAATATATATATATATACCTACACCTATAATGCATATATAATATACCTATCCGTTACGATATATCCAGCGTGTGCCGCAGCACGCAAAGTATCTCGCGCGGCTTATCGCGGTCTGACCATCGGCCTGCGTATTATTATTATTATTACAACTACTACTATACGTCTTGTACTATACACGGGTGGAGGTATCATTATTATTACTATACCGTACGATTGCGCGCCCCGGGGTGAGACCAGTTTTGCGCGCCATTATGGCCATCCGGTCCGAACTCTTTCGCCGAAATCTACCGCACACGCGCGCGGGTCCGCCGAGAGACTTGAACGCGCGTTGCAGATCACCCGCCGCGCGACTGTGACGCCGCCGCGCCACGTGCTACAATTGCGGCGGACTCACGTGCGTATATTATTATTATTATTATTATCATCATCGATGGATAATTAGGCGCGTTTTCAATGTTCGGCGGCGACAATATACATAACGACCTACAACGTGTTTAGGCTGATTAAGTATAATATATATAATACACATACGCGCATAATAATAATTATAACAGCAAAATACGTGCCAGATACGAATTCAGATAAACTACTTAATATGTTATATTATACACACTTGTTTCGTTACATATATACGAGAATAAACCGCATCTTCGGTAATCGGATTAATCGGGATTGGTCGGATGAATAACTGTTGCCGTAAACGGAGTAGACGACGGTCGCGGGCTAAGAAAGTCGACAGACGAATAATGATGATGTACCTATATATCATAATTTGTATTACTGAGCGCAATGGTGTTGTGGAAATTCAAATTTAATTGAATATCACGAGAGTAATGTTTCAGTTAGATAATTTTTTATATTATACATTTATCGTTTATGTACAATATAATAACGATCTCGCTGCAAAACCATAGATTAGAAATAGTTTGAAAATTTTCGGCTAAAAAAATAATAAATACTATGTTTTTATGTATATAAAATATTCATCTACCAATACAATATATTATAATTCGAAAGACGTCCGAGTAATATAATATTTTTATGTACCTTCGTGTGGGGCGCAACGAAATTATAGGTATTATTTTGTTTCAAAAATTTAGAATCTTGTAACCGATATTATAGAAATGTAACATATATTACATACCATAATAAACATTTAGTCGAACACGTCGCGCCGAAGCCGACAGGAATAGAAATGCATTATACCAAAAATGAACCATTAAAGTATTAGTAATATAAAAACATGTAATTAAATTATTTTTTACTATAAAGCTATATTGTATTTGAAAACAATGAAACTTAATCGAATGGATATTATATAGTCTCAACAGCTGGTAGAATATTATTCGAGTTGAAATATGAAATATATTTACGCAGCAAATACTTGTGTATTATTATTGATACTCGTTACATGAAAAATAATGGAAATAATGTAATTTTGAAAATAATAAGAAGATAATATGTCAACATGTTTAACGAATATGTCAAGGACCCAGTTAATGAATATAGATTACTAATTTTTAAAAGTTTAAAAATGTCCCTCAAATCATAATAGAACAATGACCAGTATTGAAAAAATTCATATAAACCATTTCATAGTTATAATTTTCTCTTTTATTACTCGGTAAACTTTCTTTTTTAAAGTATGGTGACAATTTCATACTCCAGAAATAACATTAGTTGTATATTGTAATATAATACTTTTAATCAAATTATTTCAATCTAGAGTTTACAATACATATATTTCTTTTGTTATTTTATTATTATTCTTTTGTATTCGTAAATGTAGAAACTAATTTTTTGCTGATTGATAGGTGTAATTTTGTTCATAAATTATGGTTTTAATCAAATTTATCATTTATCATCAACACGGAGATTTAAAAAAAAATCGCAATTTACCCGTATTAATAAATTTAATTATGTATAATTAATTAAAACACAAAGAATGTGTGTAAACATGATTACAACTTACATGTGTTGTATTATCGTCAAAATTCGGTTTTAATCTTTTAACGTCAATAAACAAATCTATATTTTTTAGACTGAATACATTTTTTCGGTTCAATGAAGTGTTTCGTATTCGTACTCTGTATTATATATATTTAGACTTATGATTCCGAAGACGACGTAAATCGTATTATATCACAGCAGGTCGTAAAAAGTGCACGAGTGCAATCGACGTCATGTTATCTAACTCGTGGAATATACTGTAACGGATTAAAAACTGGTTTACTATATGTATACATACACCGCTACCATGCTAGTCCATTCATAACACTGTCCATGCGTGCATTGAAGACGGGTCGATCGATATGCAATACTAATACTAATATTTCAGAGTGTTTGTGTAATGTGAATAAATATATGAATTGGACATGCTAGTGTGTGCGTGTGTGTACGTGTATAATAATAGTACCAAAGGGTACACATACGTATTATAGTAGGCATCATAAATTGGGTTATTTCACTAATAGAAACCACATGCAAAAACGGTTTAAATATCACAATGTATTTGTGTTATGTAATTGTCAAACGTACGTGTCGGTACTACGGTGTCGATAGGTCTCGGCATACAATGACCCTTTTTTTATTCTAGAACCATTGGGTGTCAAGGAGATTTTCTCTTTTAAAAATATATTAAAATGTGTTGTACGCACTAATTCTTATAATTCAAAATAGTTTATATTACATTGAAAATATTTGGTATTTTTATTTAATAGATTCGTCGTAAATAATAAAAAAAAAAAAAAACACTAATACATTAATTATATAATCTATATTATTTCGATGATTGTTATGATATGACGTACATCAAAAATAGACGCAATGTAGACACTTAAAAATGTACCAAAAAGGTCATAAACATAATATAATATTAGTTAACGATATTTTTATGGTTAATTTTACGGTAAGAGTAACAAACTTTAGTTTGAATTTGTGTTTAAAACTCAACTAAATATTGAATTGTAATATATCGATATTTGTGTATACATTTTTAATAACGTTCACGCGTTTGTTATTATTTTGTTTCAGAGAACAATACTTGTTCAACGTCTTCGAAGTAATCGTTTCCACATTGGAGACGAAACTCCAGCGAATAGAAAACCTAGACAAAGCTGTCGAGCACCTTATGCGTCGAGTAGAAGCACTGGATTCGAGAGTGACCAACAACATCGACAAGACAGAAGCGGTAATCGGAAAGTTGCGATCGTTAGACACCAAGTTATTCCAAAAGGAACCTGGCACCCTCGGACACCATCTCGAGACTAAGCTAACGACATTGGACCGTAAAGTTGGCGAAATTGACACTAAGTTGGTCGGGTTGAAGAGTCAGCTGGATAACAACTTCTTGGCACCCGCCGATGACATCAACGCCGAGGCGAGTGAAAAAAAACCCGTAAACGTCCACCATCTGGACGTGACCAAGCTGCTAAATACCCAGATGGACACCATTCGGAGCAATACGGCCAATATCGACAGGAAGCTGCAGTTTCATATAAACATGGTATCGGACGGGCTGACCAAGATTATAAGCATGGTGACGGATGTGCACGGTGCTATCGTTGAACAGGACAACAATAGTAACAACCACCACCACGGTAGTGGTCGGTCGGGCGGCGGAAACAAGACGACCACCACTACATCGGCACCGGCACCGGAGCGGAGCAACAAAATCGATCAGCTGGTCAGACAGATGCATCCGATACTGAGCGTCAGCGAGAAAATGGATGAGGTATGGAACGTGGTGGTCGGCACTAAGAGCTCGGTGGATGACCTGGTGCCCAAGTCTGACGAGCTGCTGACTCAGACACAGCGCCAAGAACGGGCCATTAGCGATATACATGATGACCTGCGCATGAACACCAATAAGATCATCGCTAACCTGGATGTGGTGGAGCGCAGGCTGAAGAAACAGGAGGACGACGTGGTCACGTTAGCCCAGCGACCTGTGCCTGCCGAGATGCTGCGCCTGGACCCGACCATTGACGATTATTCCCGGTACGATGAACAGTTGCAATCCGAGTCCACGCCGCTTTCCGCCTCCGTGTCATTTACCACTCCTACTAGTGTCGGTGGTATTGGCGGTATTGGTAGTCCTACGTCTGGTACACCGCCGGACGTCCAACAGTCATTCCAGACTTCAAGGAACGTGCCTCAGAAAAACAGAGGAGTGGTGTTCCCGAGCGTCAAGAATAAACCGCCACCGGCTAACATCAGTTTCTTGACCGACCAATTCAACCGCGAAGTTAAAGTGAGTATTTTTTCTTTTCGTTTTAACATTGCGACAGACTACAAATGTCTAAAACAATTGCATAACAATATTGTATATCTATACATATCGTATTATACTCATCTAAATCGATTTGGACGGTTGAGTATCCGTGGTAACTGGTTAATGATAACATTGATAACACAAACACATGGCAATTAACTATTCATTAAATTCGTAAACCACAATTAAATAATTTATTTGGATTTTTAAATGTATCTTTAACATAAAATATTTTACAATTGCTTAAGACATGAATTTCAAAATATCTCATTTATAATATTCTGATATTATTTACGTTAAAACGTTATTTTTCAAATTGGAAAAATGTAAAAACCAACCTCCAGATTAGGTACTTCAAATAAAATATACTAGTTCATATTATTGAACTTTCAAGATAGTGTAATATGTAATTGTTATTCTTGTAACACAATTTATTATTTCTTTACCGTTTAATTATTAAATGTTAAAATTTAACTATAATTTATTAAAAATGTATCCATAATATTTTAACTGTATACCAATATAGTATAATATCTGATAATAGCCATAAAAGTTAGTATAAATGGGAATGAATGTTTTATTAATCTGAGCTCCGTCTTATGTATAATGTGTATGTTTTGTGTATAAATATATAGTTTAGATACGGAACTGAGTTAAAAATATTGAGGAATTATCAGATAAGTATAATAATTGTGTAGCGGCCAAACAAATAATATTTTATTGAACTAAAAATAATACACATAATTTCATTGTAATACGATACGAATTACACTTAGGTAATGAATCAAACGTGAAAACGATATTTTAATCCATTTTAACTTAGCTCATTAAAAATGCGTGTCGCACGTTGCATGAAAGATTTGTTGAGAGATTAAAAATATGTAATAATCTTTATTTGAAATGTACACTGTTACATAAAATACTTTTTAAACTTCAACAGGAGGTTAAATTATAGGTTACTGAGTATTGTATCTTAGATCTGATTTTAGTCGACGTTTAGTTTTTAAACGTCGTTTAATTTAACAGGATATATTAAATAATGTATTTCACAAGCTTGACAGTTAATAATATTTTCTTCAGTTCTCTACTCACAAGCTACCATTCAACTATTTATTACGTATCTCTTTATTTGTAAACGACTCAAATTAAGGCGTACATTAATTAGGTACACAGATTAATTGATAATGATTTTGACAGGCCGCACATTAAATACAAATACGTTTAGAACAGTTTTAAATACATAATAGTGTAGGCGTTTTATTCGATTAAAATCACGGCTAAAAATATAATATTTATCTACTAAAAGATATCTAATCGTAAATACTTTTTATGAAATACAAATAACTACAAAAAAGGACGATTTCTGTGATTTACAAAATTATTAATAATTAAATATTAAGATATTTAATCTGGAAGAGTGGCTGTTTATAATATTTATAATTCATAGATTAATTAATAAGAGGTCATTAATGACACCATTTTGTGTGAACCTTCACCCATCATAACTTATAATTTATATGGTTTCCGCAAAATCGTTTTTCATCAAGAAGTAACTGACGTCTATATTCATTAAAATTTACTTATCGAACAGGTTTTTCTATGTACATAAAGTAATCATAATCGTATTAAATTTATAATTATATCAATTTTAACGTCATGATTGCATGCATAAGGTCTAATGTGGATTTATGAAAGTTGCATTTTACTCGATATAAATCAGAGATAATTATTAAGAGTAAATTATGATTTCAAAGTAAGTTTATGATAATAATATTAGTGAAAAATGGCTAAACACTGTGATTCAATACGAATGGATTGGCGATTGTTATTATTTTTACTTTAAGTTAAGAACCCTAATTGGAGTTTGAAATTTGAATTACCTATAAAATATTATAGGAACATTACGATGTGGGTATAGGTAACGTAAAATCAAGGGTAACGATTATTGATAAGAAAATTCAGTTCGTAGCATTATTATCATTACTATATTTATTAGTGGAAAACGAAAATAAAATACTATTAATAAGATATCAATAAAACTAGATAAATATTGTTGTTCCTTTTTTTTTTTTAATAATAAAATATACAATCACTGAATCACATAACAATGATAATAAGTACAGGGACGGTGAACGAGTCGTTTTAAATTTTGTATTGTATTTTAATTTTTATAAATGATCCTTGAAAAAAATATAATTTACTAATTATCTGATTGTAGTAACAAATCTAGTCTTAACTTTCTAAGTTTTAACTCTTATAAATTCAAACCATATTTCCTGGATAATATAGGTTTATTATAATTAATATAATTATATATAATATGCCCATAAAACAAATATTTGTAAATTATAATGAGTAAATTAATTTGATTTTCTATTATAAAATAATAGAATATTATTTTATTTTACTGATTTTACATTTTTTATTTGACCACGCGTGTATCATATGCCTATTAAAATATAGTGAATATTGTTATGATTTATCTATAACTTGATGAATACTAAAAAGTATTTAAAATAAATGGACAATTTAGAGGCTGGCTGTTGACTTTTAAATTCATAAAATGTGTTATAAGAGTATAAGACATTCATTATTTTTATAAACGAAAAATTCAATTTATTTTAAATACAACTTGCATAAACAATTTAAAAAATATTAATTCAGACCTAAACAATGATTTTTTTTTTTTATTGATGACAAAATTGTTTCTTACTATGTTTTAAATTAAAATTTTTAAAAACGATGATAAAATAACATTTGTCGAGTATATCTATACTAATTACAAAGATGAAAAAAAAATAGTTGAATGAAAATCTTGATATTTAAATAAAATTTAAAATAAACCAAGACGGATTGCATAATAATTATTTTATTTTCCATTAAGAATACTACAAAATATTAAAAAAACAAAAAAAAAAAAAACAACATGTAGTACGGCAAAATAATACTTTTATCTTGACCTATGCATAGATACGTTCAAGGAAAAACAATTCGCTGCCGTTTCTTATAATTCATATAGGTAAGTTCTATATTATAAACCTATATCAATGATATTTTCAATAATCGGCATTCGTTAGATTTTCTATATCAAAGTCCCTGGCCCCCATACTATCATACGCGTCGATGGCATTTGGAGGTTAAACGTACGAATGGATACCTCCTATGTAGATTGTGTTAGATCACTTAGATACATTATATTATTATTAATAACGACAAAGACAGTCGAAATGTTGAAAACTGCAGTCACCACGCGATTAAACTCATTTCGTTTCTGATTTCGCCATTGAAAAGTCAAATTATTATTCAAAAATAAATAAGAAAAACAAAACTTTACCGCCTGTGAGAAATTCACAATTATTATACATCTATCTGCGTGTACCACACATGCACACGTATATTATACCTATATAACCTATATAATGTATATCATTAGTGTATAATTTCCGATATAACGTGTGTGCATAATTGAAAACGGGCGCCGTGGGAACGCGTATGAAATCATCGAAGGCCGGATTTAGAATTTGCTCTGATTCCCGTTCTATACACTCGTAGGTAATATATAAATACAGAATGACGCACCAAGCATGATTACCCCCGTTTTTTTTTCATTTAACAATGAATTTATTCAAAAATTTTGATATTTGGACTTTTTAATACTATACTTTGAGATTATATATTTTTAATTTTTTAAAATTTTTTGTATTACTTACGTAGTTTTATATGATGATACAAAATTCTTTTTTTTTTAAACGACGATCTCTATACTTTTCTAATGTAGATAACTTAATTTGTATTTTTTTTGAAAATGTTGACGCATAAAATAAAAATGAAGACGTGAAGTTTTTTTTATTCATTTAATTTTGAAATTCCAATTATCATATTTTAAATAATTTTGTTATTAAATGGAAAAAAAGAGGGCGAGCATGCTAGATAGCTAGATGAATCACTCTGTAGATTATCTATACGATTTCGTAGATATAATATGCATTTTAAAGGGGAACAGGTCGTCTGAAGTTATATAATATAGCGACACTTTGTACATATTAGAACATATGACCCATAGAATAAAGTATATGTAATATAGGTTAGTGCGCGAAAAATGGCACGTTACAATCATGAGTCCAAGATGACAAACCCGCATATGAGGTACATTATAGTGATATAGTGATAATATATTATTATATTATCGCACGTATATACTCGTAGATGACAATCGGCAAACGAGGTTTTAGATCGCTGCAGATATATCAACCCATTCTGCAAGGCGAATTATTGTCGTACCCGTCGTTTTATCGTACAATTATAAATTATACTATTTATTTTTTTTTTTTTTCATATAATACACATAATATTATTTTATTTCTTTCGACGTTTTTCCTTGCAGCTGATCGATCCGACCCCGCGGATAGGTATAAAAAATAGTGGTTCTCGCAAGTTTATTGTAGTTGAAAAAAAAAATAAACGCTCACTATCTATACTGCCATACGCATATTATAATAAATACGTACATCGAAAACTGGCACACCGGTTGCATAAAAAATAAAATAAATAAATATATTATTGTTTATATTAACGAGAATACGATCAAAAGTCAATAGTGAAAGAATATGATATACAAATATCGTGGACGTAATAATATTATTATATTATTACACAGCTGGCCGCCGCGTATTTTTATAACCGTAACATAATATGTATACGCTGTACATAGTAGCGTAACGACGAATAATATTTTCGATTATCTATCAAGCATCGGTTAATTGATCGATGTAATGGATTATGTTAATTTGACAGGTAAACTCTCTAGGAAAATAAAACGTTGACTTACATTATATGAAACAGATACATTATACATAAGGTCGAGCGGACGGCGTTTGAGCTGGTATATTATAATATTATGTTGTATCTCAATTTTTAAAATAATGAACCGTTTTCTCCTCGAACACGCTACTACGAATAATTGTCAAGAAATAATTATGTTTTTATATTCATCATGCAAGCCCATGTGCATTTTAAGGATTATAATTAAAAAAAAAAAAAAAATCGGGTTCTATTAACACATTTTCAAATAATGTTTTAACATTTTTGTATTTAAATTTTTTTTTACTCGATTCGAGTAGTACAAATAAGGAAATATTAAATAAGTCGTGTTATATAATTTTATCTTTATAAAGTAGTAATTAAATTGGTTATTTCATAAATATCTGTAATTATTGTATTTGTTTTATAATTAGTATATAATATGATACATATACTCATATATAATATGGCGCACGCTATAATTTTAACATATAATATACATATCATATTATGCATAGTCTATGATCTGAATTCAATACGACTATACAGTTACAATAATCGCAGCTAAAAGCGACTTTCGTTTGTAATCAATAATACAATAAAATATTTATTAACGTTTATTTTTGTTTTCATTTTTTTCAGGGATTTTCGTGTTTAGACCTCTTAAACGCGGGAATGAAGCAATCTGGCGTGTATTATTTGCAAATCCGAGGTACGGCCTACTGGTACCTGAAGGTGTACTGCGAACAAGAGATTGCGGACGGGGGTTGGACGGTAAGTTTTGACACGCGTCCGCCGTGAACTCGGTCGCCACAAAGGGCGTGCAAGCGACATAATACACATATATATATATATATATTATATTTATATACATAAGACGTTAACGAAACGAAACACGCGTATACGTAAAACTGCGTAAACAATAATAATAATAATAATAATAATAATATAATAGTGCACGAGCGTGCTGCGTGCATCATTGTTGCACATATTACGAAGGCATAGTGTTAACGATAGAGTAGGCATAATAATAGTGTCAAGTTGTAGGTTGTAAGTAGGTAAGACTACGGACGACACACACGATCGCGTATAATAATATTTTCTTGTTATAATTTTTCGGACAACCTCGACAGTTTCCGACGAAATGATGTAACGCCGGCCACGAGCGCAAATCCGTTTGGGGACTTTTCATAAAACACGAACACGATTGTTATAACCGTCGTAGCGTTGTCGTTGTCCAAGGCCTCTTCGGTCAACGCGTATAAATCGTTCGACGGCAGCGTGAAAGTTACTCCGCGCGCATAAGCGTGGAGGTAAAAATTAAAAATGAAAAATATAATAAATTTAGATCGACGTGACATAGCACTAGAACACTATACGTACCTTTAGCGTATGGTTATACTATATTATGTTTTTAACCGTCGTTTATGTTATACAGGGTGATTCACCCCCATTTCTTCATTTAATAAATGAATTTATTGGAATTTTGATCGAGACCATATTTTCGAATTCACGAGGTTTTTTTGTGTTGTACTACTGTAACGTCGATAGACGACAACCGTTACACAACACTTAAGAAGCGTCTTGTGGAGATAAACTTCTGTTTTTTAATGACAATCTTTCTATTCTAATTTACATTATCTAGTGTAGAGATTCCCAAATTTTTTATGAAACGACCCATTTTTGAAATGATTTAAATTTTGGAAACCCACAATAATATCACAGATTTTTTTTCTTCAGTTATTAAAAAAAAAATGACACATATCTAAAAAAATGTATTATTTAAAAATATAACGCGACCTATTAAAAATATGATCGCAACCCATAGTTGATCTAGTGAATAATTTTTCTTTAAATTATTGACGTATCAAAATCAATATTTATTTTTGTGTTGGGAAAATTTTAGCTAGATTTTTTTTTTTCAACGATTATGGTAAGGTGGGACATGCCGAATGTGTTGTTAAAATTTCCAGGTAATCATCACTCATTCGGCAACTAGCAACTAATAATAATAAAAAAAAAAAAAATCATTATTGAAACGAGTAGTTTTTACTTTTTTTAAACGTTATTTAACTTTGTGTACTAAAGTTAATAGTTTAACATAATGGGTTCGAAAGATATGAGGATTATAATATAATATTATGTATAATGTTTTTTAAGCATGTTTAAAAATTTCAAATATTTGAGTTTGAATAACACTTTTATAAAATGAAAAAAAATGGGGGTGAACAGGGTTGGTGATTTACGCTGTATACTTCTACAACGGAGACCTCGCTACTGCGGGTAGATAGGTACCCACTCGTGTATTAAACGGCTCGTTGTGTGAATATAAATAACAAGTGTTACCTACTACACTCACAGTTGTTCATTTCGCATTTTGTTTTTTGTTATTTAATTGCTTCATAATTATCCCTAATCTACGACGTGAGACAATAACTGGCGTTCGATATCGCCGTACCTATGTCTAATCCACTAAGCGGCAGACAAAAGATAACCTTCGTCTTGTTATCGTAGTCGTCGTATCGCCATTTGTGGTAAGAGATCGCGACGTCTTGGCTGCGGCGGTCACGGACACGAAATTTAACAACTCTCCGTGTGTTGTTATTGTTGTTATTATTATTTAAGCATGGACGATGACATATCTTGACGACTCGACCAAGAGTTTGGTAATGAGTAATGAGTAATGACCCATTGGTCGTATTCACAGTAGTCTTGTGTGTTGTACAAGGTGATTATTCTACCACTGAACATCCTTTTTATCGATAAATTTATAGTTTTTTTTTTTTTTTTTTTAAATATGAGTTTTAATTTAAAAACAATAACTGACATTTAAAATTTAATATTCCGAAACGAGATACTTTTTAAAGCTTTAGATTTCCTAAAATTGAACTTAAAATCAGTTTAATACCTGTAGTTTATTAGTGCTATAAGGTGTTCGTGACCTTAACATATTTTTGCATTTTTAAGTATTATTTAGTTATGATTTTTTGATTTTTTAAAAATGTTTTTTTGTGAACTGTATATATTATTAATATTCTTAAAAAAAAGTTATTATCTAAAAATCATAGTCAATTTTTAATGAATAATAAATTCAATTTTTTACCTGTTAACAATGTCTTACTTGATTGTTTTAAAGACTCTGATATATTTGAGCTTATATTTTAGAACTTTTAACATTATATACATTTTTACTTTAGTTATTTCTTAAAAGATTCATGAGAATTTTATAGCTTAGATTAATAGAGTTTTCTGTGATATTATATACTAAATAAAGTAAATAAATATTTTGCGCGGTATTCTTGTATCAGTGTGATATTCTACTTTGCTCATTTATAGTTTAAATGCTTCTATCTAATTGTATTTAGTAGTGGGGTATGTTTTTTCTTCAAAATTATGATATAGTATTATGACTTCAAATGATGTAAGAAAAATATTTTCAAAAACATATAATTTACCAGATGTTAAGTGAAAAAATAATCAGCTTGTATTAGTCATAAAATGTAGTGCTATACGTGTTCACGATATAATATTAATCATTATAAATTATAATATTAATGATATTGGTAACAGGACGTAATATAATACTATATATATATATATATTATTCATGATGTGTGCGCGTAATTATACATATTTTATTTATTGGAATAATTTATTTAGTAAGTAATAATACATCGTAAATTTGATTACATTATAATATTATTATAGTTTCATAGTAATACCATGTCCGACAAATTACATCCAATTTAATTTCACGTACCTATATAATCTAATGATTACAATATGCATTACATAGTCGCCTTGCATATTTCACCTATTTTCGTATACGCATATATAATATTCGACGAATTATAATAATATGATGGATGAAATGGTGGTTCAAAAACTTTTGCAAATTCTTTAAGAAATCGAATTATAGTGTACGTGTTATAAATATTAAATTATTAAATAAGTTTGTTATTGTTTATAAATATCTTCAGCATAATAAAAGTAAGGCAAATTGTTTTTTCCTTATTATGCACGAATTTAATGTGCACACTGTAATACTTATCTAGAATGTAAAGTGTATAATAAATCAAAATTTGTATTTAAACATTTTATTTTTTTCTTCAAAGTATGTATAAATAATATATAATTGAGAAAGTATAATAAATCAGTTCACGCGTCATATGCGTACAACCAATGAACGCTCATCTGGCCTGTATTATTGGTCGTATGCAATTTATCTTATTGCGTAGTTATAGCGCATTCGTGTGAATGCTTAAGTTCTAGTCCATGCTTGAAATAACCAATTATAAAATTAATGTCAAAAAAATCTGACACATTAGTATTAAAATTCTAAAAAATTGTAAGTTATGATATAAATAAGTAATAACTATGCATTTTTAAAATCTTAAAATGCATTAAATCATATGGCATAGGGTTTATCTAAGTAATCATAATAGTTGTTACATACTAGAAAATTGAAAAAAAATTTTAAAAAACTGAATTAGGTAGGTATATACTATTATGTTAATACATTCAACTTTTGATGATTCTATAAAAAATGATCTGTTTTTTAATAACTTGTAAAAATTGTCTTAGCTTATTTTTTATTTATTTATCAAATGTCTGTATAAACAAGCAGCTAGACAAATATTTACTGTGTATAAACTATGAATAATATCTAAATTAATTTACTGAGAATATTATAATAGAGCTATATTAAAGTATTCAAAATAACTTTAGTACCTACCAAATTTGCGTATGAATAATGAGTTTCAATTTATTTCATAATATTGAAAATTGTATAATATATTTTTAGTTAATAACTACTTGTAATATTAATTCATTAAAAATTGCATTACTTATGTAAACTTTATTGACTATTATTATATTGTTTAGGTCATACAAAGAAGAGACGATATTGGTGATCCGATACGTGAGAATTTCAACAGGGACTGGACTGATTATAAAAATGGATTTGGTGACCCTACTAAAGAATTTTGGATGGGAAATGAAAATATTTACATGCTGACCAGTAATGATGAATATATGTTGAGAATTGAGTTGGAAGATTTTGAAGGAAATAGAAGGTAATACTTTAATTTTAAATTTTAGCTAAGACGAAAACATTGTATTAGAACTTAAACATTATTGTAATATCATATACTATGAAGTATAAACCAGTATGTAACATTATTCAACAAAACCCTTTGATCAATTATCCAAATAACTTAGTGCAAACATTTGGTAATTGAATCTTTTGATTAAAATAATATAATTTTGATTCATACAGTAAACAATTAATATAAATTCCAATCAGCTTGTTAAATCGTTCGTTAAATTAATTTCTTTCGGTTTTTTTTTTTTTTTTTTATATAGGTACGCTCAATATTCACATTTCAAAATTTATTCGGAATCTGAATACTACAAGTTAGAGATTGATGGATATGAGGGCAATGCCGGAGATTCACTGAATGATCCGTGGTACGGAAGTAATAACAGTCCATTCTCTACGTACAACAGGTTTGTGACTACATAATATTGTTGTATAATTTATTATTAATCATTTGATCTCATTACCAAAATCTGCATTTTATTTCCTTACAGAGATAATGATAGATCGAGTTTGAACTGTGCGTCGATGTTAAAAGGAGGATGGTGGTGGAAGTCTTGTGGCAGAGGACTCAATGGATTGTATTTAAATGATCCACAAGATTTAACAGCCAGACAAGGTAAAAAAGGGGGAAGATATAGGCAGCTTAATAACCACGAGACAAAGTTGCTTAAACAACATTTTATTGATATAAAAATACCTCTTTAAAACTATCAAAACTATTTTATGATCTTTATTATTTGAATCAACATAGATATAACCTATTACTGGTGCTAGGAATTTAATGTCCTAAATTTTTTTAAAAAATTCCATTAAAACAATATATAAAATGACTTAAAAACTCAAAAAATGCATTTAAATTTATTCATTATAGCTTGAAAATTGGAAAAAAATTGAAAAATGATACTACAGAAGTGTATTAATTTTTTTATAATATTTTACATTGTTACTTTTATAGTTGAATGATCTGCCGTTTTTTCTTAATCATTCATTTTAAAATAATTTATTATCCTGCCGTCAGCAGTTTGTCGAAAATCTCTTGTTAATCGTAACAATTTTCATTTATGTTATGAACAAATTGTGAAAAATACTCCAAAAACTAAGAAAATGCATTAAAATCATCAAAAAATACATTTAAGTGTAATTTTATAAAAAAATGCAAAAAATTACTTTAAAATAATCAGCTTTTACTCAAAACCCATTTTATACTAACGTTTAAAAATTTGCATCAAAATCCCAGCCCTGTCTATTACATACGTATATTCATTGTATTAAAACATTTAAAACCGTTAGTAATCAATTATCAAACAGGCTCAGAAAAACTTTAATCTAAAATTGTTTTTTAATTAAATGCACACATTGTCTACAAATTTAACTCAGATTCTTATGACAAACAAATCGTAGGAGTTTACTTTTTCCAATGTTTAATATTTTAGATTATTGTAGCAGTGATGCACTAGTCATAAAGTATCTTTTCGATATTTCTCTATACTGTTATATAGGCATACAGTATACAGATATAATATATAATAACGGAGTTGTGCATATAATTTTACGTTATTTTAAGTACTTTCGAGAATGTAATCGGATAATTATACATAATATTTAAAAAATAATAAAAACAAAAATTATAATCAACTGGATTTCCCGTTATTAAACTATATTATTTGCTTTGATAGTCGAGTTTACAAGCGTGGAAATTTGATTAATTAAAGTCATTTCTTACGGTTAAAACCAACTACGCTAAAAATAATTCATAATATTCATAAATAAAGAAAGCATACATAATATTTACGACGAAAGTATCTAGCTAAATATACACAAACTGTTTATAGACATATGAAAAATCTAACGTAATCACTGGTCTGGAATTATTAATCATAACCGTTATGGTTAGATAAAAAAAAAATAAATGTAAAATATAACAAATATAATATAATGAGTATAGGAATTTAGGTGATTCCTAGTTATAAATAAAATATTTATCGTGTAAAAATATAATATTGTTGATGGCGTGTCCGTTTTTTCCTGTACACATGTACCTGTACATAATATATGTATAATATGTATATACCAGCGAGTGTGACCATTGCGTTATATGGAGCTTTAATTAACGCGTTTAGAAAAAATAAATAATATCCACTTCCCAAACTAAGATGCGTGAAATATTATAATGTTATTTTTGTTGTATTCTTAGGTATCGTATGGTTCCGCTGGAGAGGATGGGATTACACGCTGAAGAAAGCGCAAATGTTAATCAAACCAAAGGTCACCGTCATTCCACCATTACCTGTCGTTAACGCTGTTTGAGCGAAGAGGGATATTCGCATGTCATATATTATATAAAAATAAAATTGTATTAAACGTTTGTATTTAAAAAAAAAGTCTATAAAAAAAAAAATAACGATATAAGAATCTTTGATGAAATATTGTCGTGTTTTAATTAGGCTCAAATTCACTACTATTTTATGTTCTTCTATTCACCTTAAGACGCATCTTAGTACGTGCCTATGATGGCCTGATTATGTTTGGTCAAATCAGAAGGCTTGAGGATAAAAATGTAAAAATGTATTTATTTTGTAAATATATTTAAAAAAATGTGCCGTATATCATAATATACATAATATTTAGCATAATAATATATAAATATTATTTAGTATTATTAGATATAAACTCTGTCTAGTTGTTTATTTTATTATTATTATTTTTTTATTTTTATTTTATTGATAATTTTATTATACGTTTTGAAATAATATTTAAATGTTTAGATACATATCCAAAATCCAAATTCATATATTCCATTTCCATAGTTATTATTGTTTTATTTCTTTCATCACATCCGTTCCGTCAATCTTCATTTATATGAAAACCGTCTAATAAAATTGTTAGATATTATTACAATTAAAATATGTTGTTCATTTTATAATCGGTTCCACAGTAATTACAATCCTTTTACATTCCATATAGTTTAGGTCAACACCAATGCTGTAATTTGTACTGAGAACAGTCAGGGTTAGTTTATGCGAACTATTTTATAATGTGCATTTTTAAAGTAATCATCATGCGTGGGAAATAAAATAACATTTTACCACGTGAAAACAATATATTATTGTGAAAACATGAAGATTTAGTTATAACGGAAAAATAATGATAAAATGTTCAAAAAAAAAATTCGCCAGTACGTAATTATTGTAACATTTGTAACTGGCTAACGGCAAATTACTAACGTGGAATATTTTGTTATATGGGTACCGAGTGGAAGTTGATGGTCGATTGTCGTATTTTGTCGTACAGAATATTATTACTTAGATATCTATGATTGTACTTGAACGATTATTCAGTACCTACATGTTACCAGAGACTATAAAAATGTTCTAAAATTCACTAGTAATTATACTCAGTAACATTGCTATAACGTATTTTATAATAAAGTTAAAAAATGTACACTTGTTCATAGTCGGCCGGACGTTTAATTCTCCAACGCGAGGACAGCCAGTATACATAATTGCATTATAATAATCGAATGCGTAATATTATATTACGTTTTGAACAGTATAAGTAACAAAAGAGTGTAATTCGACTTCATAACATCATGTACGTACTATTTTCTTATCGATTTATATAACGACGACCATATTATAATAATATGTCAACATACGTCCTAACTTAATAAATAGTGCTTTATCATATCATTATTATGTTGGTTTTATAACCAATTACTTATTCGTTCATAACAAACAGCATTATTATAATATATTATTTTCAAACTAGCGTCCGATATTTCGTTATAACGGTGGACATAATATGTTCGCATATCGTAATATCACAGTATAACTACCGATATACCCATAACATTATAACATTATAGCATAGTGATATGTTACCAATATTTGGATAGGTATGTGTATAACTTATCGACCCACATCGCGACCTGTGCAAAAAAACACAAGATTGGATATTAAAAATAATAATTTATCCATGAGAGAGAAAGAGAGAGAGAGAGACAGAGAGAGACAGAGACAGAGAGAAAGACAGAGAGAAAAATACGGTTGTGGTGAATAATGAGTAATAACACGTTATAATAATTGCTAATGGGATTATCTAGATATGATATGCTGTTATTTGTAGAACGGTGGCGAAGCCACCGATACTGTATAATAACAATAATAATGACAACAACAATAATACTACACCGACAATATCCGAGTATGTTATACCATGATTACCTATAGTATTATACATCCCGTATTATATACCTACATGTGTGCACTGTATACGGTGCATTAATAATTTAATAACTGTAATATCGGTATGTGGTAGGCAAGTAATAACGAGGTTTTTTTGCTCATAATAATCAATTACTCAACAACGTTTCAGGATTGAAACAATATTATGAAACTATACATAGGTAGGTACTATATAGGTTGAGCGCAGACTTTTATAATTCAATTTTTTTTTAAACTGTTACTCGTTTCGAAAATATCACGTATAAGCCAATCGATAAGTGATTTTCACTAAAAACATGCAAAACAGTATCTTCTATTCCGGTTATCTGATAAATTTTATTGATTCGAATTTAAAGAAAATTAATTAATAATTGATATCTGGTTGGTAGATCGCACATAGTTTTAAATAAAATAACAGATGGATATATGGACGTGGTCCATCTGCTTAGAGGTTTATCAAGTCTTACTCTAAAATATAATTAAAATCAAGATCCAAAAGCAGGAATTTTTACAACCTAGTATTTTCATAAGATATATAATTAATATGATAAATAATTATAATATTTTTTGTACAGAATGCAAAATGCTAAATACCTGTATAAATAACAGCGTAAGCTAAACAATTTTGAGATATTTTTATTTATTTATTTTTTTTATCAACATCGTTCGTATACTCGTTATCTTATGAATTTATTTTATAATTTTTGTTTCATTTTTATTAACTACCGTTCATCAGATCATTTACATATATTTTAGTTTATACGTTTTTAAATGTTTTTTTTATATCGCATTTTTCAGTTAAACTCTTATCTATTCTATTAAAATATCATAATTGTTTTTGTTATAAGTTACACCAATTTTATTTCTTACTTAGAAAAAATTTTTATTATTTATGAAAATATATAATCTTAGTATTTTAGTAAACATTAAATTACTTAATCCCGTGATATAGTCTGCCGGTCATTAAAAAATAAATAATTTTTACAAATTTATTTTGACATTTAAATCTGTATTTTAAAAGTGTATATTTAATTAAAAAAAAAAAATTATAAGCGCAGTGAAGTTAAATTCTTAACCAAATAAGAAATATTTGAAGAAGATGTTAGATATCTAAATAGTACTATGTGGTGGTTGAACTTAGAAAAAAACAGCGAGTAATATTGAATTTAAAGCAAAGGTAAAAAAAAAAAAACAAAAAATTTTCATACTAAGTAAATTACAAATTGAAGTTTATTTTCAATATAATAATAATTTATAAGTAAATGTGTAAAATATTTTTTAGTATAAAATCAAATAAAAATTTAAAAAAATAGTTCATTGTGGATTAGGTTAAGTAAAAAACACTAAAAAAAGTGTACCTTAAAAATTAAAATTAAGCATAAACTATTATATAACACTAATTTTTATTATTTGTTTTGCGTATAAAATTTTATAAAAATACCAACACATTTTTAATCATACCTCTTTTGAGATAGTCCTTAGTCTGTATGAAATGGAAAGGAATTATTTGAATAGTCAAAAATGAAAGTTTTTTGGAAATTGATCTTATTGTAAAATTAAAACCGTTAAATTAAAGCTAAATAAGTACTGAAGACATTAGTCTCTGGGCAAAATAAATTTACGTGTCATTATGACTCTTCATAAATTTATTGATTGTATATAAAAAATGTCTGTGTTTGTTTTTATTATTAGTTACAAATCTACTGGGATATTTAAAAAACAATATTCTAAAGTACATATAATATTGTTTTAATTTTTAAATTCTTTTTTTTATTCCTTTCAGAAAAAATAATAAATAGCTGTTTTCAAAAATTAAAACCATAGAAATACTGATAACTGTAAATGTAAAATTCATACCTTCATCGTTTTTTCTCAGAAATCAAAATCAAAAATCAATATACATTATTGACTTAGTGTCTTTATCATAACTATTTATTCGGGATTGGTAAATTAGGTCCCGGAAAAAAAAAAGGTTGTAGGTAAGTTGAGTCCCGGATAATAAAAGGTATTAGGTAAGTTGAGTCCCGAAAAAAAAAAATATAAATTAAAATGTATGTGGTTTTTATAATATTATGTTATCAATAAATAATACATGGTACAAATGATTAAAAAATTGTGTACCGGGAAAAAAATGTCAATACGCTAAATAATATAATAGTACGTCAAATTTTACAATATATGGTATAAAATATTATGCTTTTGGTAAAAACTTAAATGATAAACATTTAACAAATTCTAATCGAGTTATTATATTATTTTTATACGTATTTCATCATTTGTTCTCTTATACCTGTCTATACACACATTAACATCATGTGTAGAATTAATTGGTGTCCAGGCGGTGTACCACACTGTATACAATATGACGTATTATTGTAACAATTATTCAAAAGTAAATTATATAAATATGAAATATTATATATAGGCGGGACCCAACGTACCTATTACCTTATTATACCCGGGACTCAACTTAGCGCTTTCAAAACGAACCCAAATTATAGCGGACTCAATTCACCTAGCTCCCATTTATTGTTTAAGCGCTGTAAATTTGTATTTTTTTAAATTAAGTTGTGTACATACATATTATTATCTTTGTCTTTAATAATCCATTGAGGTTGAAACATTTGTTATAAATGGCATTACAGGATAGATAATCTAGTCCGATTACTGACGGTAATGCTTTTTAATTATATAATTAATGGCTTATAAATTATCTAACCAGATGTATTATAATGTATAATATTATACTTTCTTTCTGTGGAATATTTTGCTCAAGAAAATTAATTTGCAATTTCAAACAAGCAAATTGATATATGACGTGTATAAATTTAAATTGAAATAATATGATAATATAATATTATGATCAATATTCAGGTTGTATAGTGTATATTCATTACTCACCACTGCAGTATATCTATCCGCCATTAAAAATTATGATAATCCAATTATTTTATAGTTTCTAAATAACATGGTAGCCATGGTACACTAATTTAATATTAGTTATAGCTATAATATAGATTATGAAAATAAATGATATAATTAAGGAAATACATATTATTATTATGACCGACGGGTTTGAGTGTGTAAATATTACGTGATAAGGCCACACACGCAAAAATAAAAAAAAACTGCAATGATTTGATTTCGTCAATATTGTTAAATTTAATTAAATTACGTTACATGGGATATTAAATTCAAACAAACCTGTATTAAAATGGTTTTTAATATCATTACAATCGTTGCGTTTAGTAATTGCTGAAAAATTAAGTGCTGTAAAACGTTATGTTTGCTTATTATTATTTTTTAATATTCTTCAATAACTAATAAATGTTTTTACATGTAGATAATAAAATAAACCTTATTCACCATTTTTTCAAAATTCGATAGATTAATATAAAGA